CGATCTTCGGTAGCATGCACGCCACCGTGAGATCGGTGATTTGGTTCCGCCGACAATCCAGCTCGCCCAGCCGCCCCAACTGGCTGAATTCGTCAGGCAGCTTCGACACCTGGTTTCCAACGATGACCAATCTCTCCAGACATTTCAGCCTCCCTATCTCTTCCGGCAGCTCTGAAATCGAGTTGAAGGAGATATCCAGGTCTCGTAGACTGGTCAATTCGCTGACCCCCAGTGGGAACGTCCGGAACTTGTTGTTCGAGATATTGAGCGTGATCAGTCGCCGCATGCGGGGGAAGCTCCATGGTAAGTTCTCCAGCCTGTTGTTCTGCACATACAGGGTAGTCAGCCCGGGAATATCATCCAGGTACGCCTCATCCAGCGTGGAAATCCGATTGCAGGAGAGATCCAGTCGAGTCAGTGTCGTACTATGTCGCAAGCTGTTCGGCACTTTCTTCATAGACATATTCGAGAGCTTCAGTTCACGTAGTGTCGTACAGGATTGAATGAAGTCCAACGGGATTTCGATCATCGGGTTTCGCGAGAGCCGGAGGGAGACGATGGAATCGGCATGCTGGTGTAAAACGACAGGAATGGTCCGCAGACTGCGACTGGACAGGTCAATGAACTCGAAGTTGTCAAATCTGAGATCTTCGTTCTGAATGATTGATCAGGAGGGCGAAACATAGAAGCGATGGATCGCACGCACCGCTGGGCCGAGAAATTGGCTCTTGTAGAAAAACTTGAGGATAAATGCCAAGCCGGCACCGTTCACCAGATCTTGCCCATCCGACTCGTCATACCCAGCCTGCTCAAGTCGTCGGAGCACTATTTCAGCAGGTCGTTCTGTCGGCGCCATGGTTCGCTCTGCAAATGACCCAGCTTAAGTATGTAATCCAGGAAAAGAGGACATGAGAAGTACCTCTTCCCCGTTCCTTGAGATATAACTGATGAATCTCATTCTCCTCCCCAGCAGGGAGCTTCATATCCAGCTTCGGCGTCAACTGTGCCACGGTCGTGTTCGTCGGCACCTGCACGACGTGGTACGTCCCGTCAGCTTTGTACACGCGAATTTGCATCTTCTGGCCTGCAACGGTGCGTTTGCTGCCTGGCCTCCGATGCGAATGAGACGATCGTCCATTAGACGTTTGCGCACTCGTCAGCGAGCCAATCGTCCCGTTCCGCCTTGAAGATGGCATCATCTCCGGAGGTACCGCTCGCTGTCGAGAGTCGGCCCCTTCATCAGAATCCGAATCTCCGCCACCCACGCCCTCTACCGATCCAACTGAGTCCTTCACAGCGACACTCCAGCTTTCCGGGGCTGTCCATCCCTCTGAACTCGGTGGACCTCTCAGCATCACACCTGTCATGGGGGCCGCATAATCAATACTGGGCAGCACCGTGTTCGGCGACACCCGTCGCGACGCACGACGGATGTGGTGAAAGGATGATTGTTCTGGAACGAATGGATTGCTGAAGGACGGTGATCCACCCAGATAGTAGTTACTTTCATCCATCATATCCGAATGATTCGAGTTCGAGTTGGATGTCGAACCGAATCCACTACTCGGGGAGCTCGCATCGTTTCCGCCATTCGCCAGTTTGGAATGATCCACAATGCCCTTCATCGCACCAAAGTCCAAATCCAGCTTGATATCGAGTTCACCAGGTTCCAGTGACTCGTGAGTGCTGCCAGGCAGAGGAGGAACAGGTTCATCGACATGGCTACTCTTCTTCTTCTGTTTCTTGAATCTCGGCGTCTGCGGTGGCGATGGCACAGGCAGGAACGACACAAATGACCCGGATCCGTTCAAAGGCAAAGGCCGCAGTGAAAAGTGCTCCGAATCCTCAGGTGCGCCCTTCATATTCTTTTTCGACACTTTCTTTCGCAAACTGCTGAACACCGAGGACTTGCTCTTTTTCAGCTCAGGTGAGGGCGAGTACGCGCGGTCAAGCGGCTCGTGCATATTGGAAGTCGACGTTGATGCGATGGCAGAGCCCATGGTTTCAGCGATGCTTAGACTACTTGGCGTTTCCGAGATGCCCCGTTGCCGAGAGAAGAAGTTGGAAGTACTGCCGGTGCGTAGTGACGAAAACGAGTTCTTGGGCGGGAAGTGGAAGGAGCGGCCGTTCTTGGCTGGCGGAGAAGGCTTGAGAAGGTGAGCAGGGAGTAATAGTTGAGAGAATGACCACGCACCGGCTCAGTATCCGATTTGTCTAACCAAGGCGCGATTTCCACATCATGTGTGGGGGGTAGATCCAGGTCGGGCACCATCAGTGCCTGCCCATAATCATCAACCGAGTCATCGAGCTCTATAGAACCGCGCGTGGAAACGCTGAGGTGGGTTGAGGGTCGATGCTTTGTTGAATAAGAAGCGGATGTCGAGGAGCTCGCAACGCTCCCTTGTCGTGAAGGATACGTTGAGGTCGGTTTTGGGGGCGGAGTAGGCTGTTATTCAAAAACGCTGAGCGGAGGGAGTCCCGTAATGAAAGAAACCAAGTACACACCGGAACGTCATCCAAAGACTCAAGCCATGGCGCTATTTCCGCCGCGCCGTTTACACTCCCTCCGCGTTGCACCTGTCCCTGGCCTGAAGCAAGGCGCACCGTCGGCGAGGAACCATACGTCGTCTTTATCGGCGCCACGTGTACCCTGGTCGACATGGAAGGACGCCACGAATGCGAGAGTCAGAATACTCAGTCTTTCAGAAATTATGAGCGTGGACAAGGATGAGGTCGCGCCGGAGACAATGCGCACCGCAGTGGATCTATTACAGAGGCCCTGAGACTCTATGAGGGGTGTCCAACGGAAGTCGCGCGGAAAGACGGATATCGGGTACGACGGTGAAAGCCAGGTGGTCTATTTGATGGCGTGATGCAGGACTGCCGACAGCGCGCTGGGCGGAGCTTGTGGATGATCAGGGACCTTCCACTCGTCGCGTCGGCTCTTGAGCCGGGTTGGTGCGAAGGGGGAAGTCTGTGGGCGAACTCGGGCGCACGAACAACAGCGAGCGAGCAAGACTCAAGTGAGCAGTGGTTGTGTGACGTTGACATGTCACTCACCAACTGTCTGTTCCAATCGGGAAAGGACCCCTGTCTCTTCCGCTGTCTTGTAAATGTCCACTATCAGTTTCGAGTCGGATATTCCTCGCAAACTGACACCCCCAAACAAAGAACCACTGATAAAATCATCCATGCTGACAACGCGTCTGAACTCAATGTGCTTATTTCAACACCAGCAATCATCTCCAGATCCCTACCGACTCTACTACAGCCAGTCTGACTCTGAGATTGGTCCAGATATGTACACAGCAGTCTCAACGCCTACGTGATCTACCCCCCTCCCGCCGTCTCTTTAGCCATCCGAGACGGGTGTCCGGGCGTTTGGCGACCCCGCTGTCATATTAGTACGCTTCTAGACTTCTTAACTCCTCCTTCTTCCCACCCACTGCTGGCAGCATGGCAGACGACGCGAACGATATCCTGTACTCCCACTCAACGCGTAGTTGGCGGCGCTCTCGCTGGTGGCACTGGCATCCTCAAAAGTGGTGGATCTTTGCTGTCGGGATCCTTGGTGCTTTGACTTTTACGTTCTTGGCTCTCGGTGGACCGGAACGTGCGGTGCCTACACTGCAAGCAACCCCCAAGCAGATACATGACGTGACATTGGAATCCTGCTCGAGCATAGCGAAGCCGGCCTTCGCTCCGCGAAGGGTTTATCTGCATGCAGGGGGGCTTCGAGGAGAGGGAATCGGGGTGCGTGGAGAGTCACAGCCCGCAAATCTTCGGGCGTACTGAATGGAGCTTCCAGTCTGTTCTCCATCATTTCAAGCAGAGCATCGTGTTTTCGCGCCTCCTCGACGCCGAGTTTGTCCTGGCGTCCAACGTCGACTCCGACAATAGATACTTTACCTCTAAAATCTACAATGGACCAATCCTCGATCCGCAGAAATACGCTTTCGATGCCAGAAACTCCTGTCGTATCAGAGATTTCATACCGGATTCCGAGCGCGATCGTTTTACGAGGGGGGTTTGCGATCATCAGCCGTGGGCCTTGGAACGTGCCCGCAAGCTTCAGCACAGTATGTCTCGATGCACGAGTGTAGTTGACTTCAACGAGGCGGAGGTACGGAGGTTTTATCGGGTTCCAGAGTAACATACCATCTTCCATCTCCACAGATTACTCAAGACCTGAATGGTTGTATCATGGACTGGGTCAAGGATCGGTTTCATCCAGCATCCAAGTTCCCATATGACCCGTTACCGCCTTTTCACCCACCGAAACGCCCCATCCGAGTGGGCATACATATCCGTTGGGGAGATACTGCCAAACAAGAAGACCTGACTCCCAGCGCGCTCCTCGAACACAAGTTTTACGGCTCTTTCTCCCTACGCAAGATGCTAAGCACATTACGAGACATCCGTAAGCTTGCCGGCAAGTCCGGTATCAAGCTCACAGTGGCTATGGAGAACGCCGACAAGCGTGTGCTTGATCTCTTGGAGGAGAAGGACTACGTTCTGTTGGATTCGCGGGCTGAAGATGATCTAGACGATATGCGGAAACTGAGCGAGAACGACATCTTGCTCCTCGGCGAATCCAGCTGGGGCGTCCTTGTCCATTTGATTGCACCACCCGGGCTGACACTTGTCGACGGTGGGGCGGCGTAAGTGTCTCTTCTATCTTATCTTCTCCACTGGTCTGACTATCCACTTCAATGCTTTCAAAGGCAGAAATTCTCGAACACGACGGGTCTCGGCAGGGATGTTATTTATATGAAGGACTATACGCCTGAAAAGCTTCGTGCGGCTCTGTTTCCCGTTCAGAAGGACTAGCATTTGCTCTTGTTTTAATTTTGAGTGGTCACTTTCCTGTACTTACAAGTTGTTCCTCTGGGACTGTATTTTGGACTCATTTGTCAGCGACTGCACCCGTCTTGCCGAATTCTTAGACAATGAAACTTCTACAAGTGCATACATTGACATGACCGGATCAGATGATAAAGTCAAGACGAAACGTGTACAACTGCGTTTCGGATAGCGGAGAGCTGCTGGTGAGTTATGGTACGGTGATGATGCAGGAGCACTGTGCAGAATACATCTTCGAAAATGAGCACCGGGATAAGCCCATTGTCAGAGCTCTGCAAGAGTTGGATTCGCACAAGGCCGCCGACCTCATCTGCTGTAGAAAGAAACCCGCTTCTCTTGCGAAGACATCCCTTCTGAGACTGCACCTGCAAATCATGCGCCAGCCGTTCCCGATCGTCCCACATCACACCGCAAGCGCAGTCGTGCATCCCGACGAGCAGCAGAGAAACGTTCAGGACGACACCCGCCATCAAACAAAAGAGCGCGAATAGGAGCACAGAGATGATCGTTTCGGGGACCCAGGGTGCCCAGTCTCGGCTTAATTCCCATCTCCATGCCAAAGGTCTGACTCGGCGACGAGACACATAGAGCCCCATGGGCATCGCAAAGACAACGATTCCCGATTGCTGCCCTGACGGAACGCATCCAACGACGAGGTCCGCAATATCGCGCGCGCTGTAGAAGACGCGGGCTGCCACGGCATTCGAGACGTCTACGCAGAGCACCGGAGACTCCAGGGATTGCAAGACAGCGGCGAGCTCAGAGCCGTGCCTCCTGCCATACACAGAGGCAGGTCGGAGGGTGAGGCGGCGGATGGGTGCAATGTGTGCGATGACAGGGAGGAGCGCGTATTGGTCCACCGCGAGTTGGACGTCTCCCTCCATGATGTCCGATAACGAAATACCATGGCGGTCAAGCAGCGCTAGTCTAGCGAAAGCGCGAATGGATGCCGTTGTTGCAGAGAGGGCCTGGAGATCGGATGTGTCTGCGTTTGAGCAAACCTGGGCGACAAGCTCTGGCGGGAGCGAGGAGAAGAGCGTCATGGACGAGTCCAGGGTGTGTATACAGTGCTAGGAGTGTATGCTGCGAGCATGAATGGAGGACATCCCCGAACAGCGAAGTTGATGAGCGTCATAGATGAATCCAGGATGAGTGCTGGGGACGTGTGCTGCAAGCATGACCGCAGGGCATGCCACAACCAGCGAAGCTGATAAGGAAGTGTGTTATTTTTGAGAGGTGATAGTGCAGAGCACTCCCGCGCGCTCACACCTATAGTGACATGCGGGGCGTTGATAGATGCTCCGGAGGTTTTCCACGGAACCCTGCTCCGTGAACTCGGAGTCGCAGTCAAGTTGCCGGTCACAAAGAAGCCAAATCTCTTGTCGTACGCGAGTGTTGAAGTGAGCGAGGCTTTTCGGGAGCATTCATTGCCGCTACCTTCGGTAAGGTCGGAGATGTTGCTCGTTCTTGTCAACGGCAAATAATTACATTCGCGTAGCATCACTTTATCGTCATCCATAATGTGTGATCAACGACTGCATCTGTAATCACAGCTTGTCACGAAACACTGCCCAGTGCCCACGCTCTACTTGCTTTCCTCCTGAGGCTGCTCTGACAAACAAACATGAAGACATATCTCCACTTTTATACAAGCGCTGATGGATGGACTACCTCGGTCGTGACAGCGATGACTTGCAGACTGCACGAGTTCAATTTCCAGGTGCTCTCAGTCTGACATTAGGTGTGCTGGAAGGGAGGGGCTACCACTCGTCGGCCTAACATTCCCCATCAAAAATACGTGAGAAAGAGGCTTTCTGCGAAGACGGGACTGTGAAAGAGTTGCTTGACGACTGGTAAACGGGCGTCGCGGATTTTCTCGAGAGGAAAAAAAGGAAAAAGCGTCCGCTGATTATATGCTCCAGTCCATTGGCAGAGACATCAACATGGCAGTAGAATGAGTACAATCCCTACACTGGATAACTATAACAGGCCACATAGATGTAATGTACGGCACAAGATAATAAGCTTTATAAGAGTCCCCGTATCAAAGTCGTAAAAATCGTCCGTAATTAGAATCGTGGCTGGACCAGTCTAATGGTATTCTCCGCCGAGTCCCCCGAGTCTTGTGCAAGATCATCTGGACTGTCCCGACCCCTATTCCACAGACTCACACTCTCGTCTCTGTCGTCTTCGGTCCCAGTCCGCGGGTACTTTCGGGTTGAGCGACCGCGTTCAGAGGGGGCGCCGTCTTCCCAGTTCGCAGAACGTGCAGAATCAGTCACGCTAGGGAAACTGAGAAGAGTCCCGCTTTGCGGGCTGCCCCTTACCTGGCCGGATTGCTCGTCCTTGGAAAAGATGTCCCTAGAGTCCATCCTCCTTGCACCCGGGAATCGTGGGGCCATCGTTGGCGGCGCACTCCGCGTCATATGACTCTCGTTGCTGTACGCCTCTGAAACAGCGATGCTCTGATCGCGCAGGCTGGTCATGCTGCCATGCGTCGCAAGGGACGGTGGAGGATGTTCATCCAGTTCGCCCAGAAGAAGGTCATTACTGCCATTGGCACCGACCCCGGCAAGGCCTCCACCCCTCTGAGAGTCTGTTTCCTCCCGAGACCGGCCAGGTGGATATCCGCCGTCTGCTGGTGGCAATCCGGTGGTCATCACCAATGGGGACTCGACCACCGGGCGAGAGCTGTGGATCGCAGCGTCGTCTCTCCGTGGGGTTCCGCTCTGGCCGCCAGTGGGGTGATATTGATGCACCACATCTTCTGTTCCAAACTTGATGGTCGTTCGCTTTCCGAGCACCCCTGGCCCGGGCGTCGTAGCGTTGCTATCACTCCGGACACTTCGATTCTCCAGGTCTAGGGATGGCATCGGGGCGTCATACAGCTGGTGCCGTTCAACCGGCGGAAGGCGAGGGTTCGTCGAATTAGCGCGCGTTCTGTCGTATGGAGCAGCCGCACCGGGCGGCCGGCCAACCGACGATGACTGGGATAACCTTCGGGCACTGCGAGCCCGGATGATACTACCGACGGCGCCGAAACTCCCACGCAGGGTGTCCATCCCAGGATCTTCAATGCCAAGGTGATGCTACCATCAGCGTCAGCACACTCACGATCCTATGCTTCCAAAGATGACGCACTTTCTCTTCCATAGATTCGGTCTGGCTGCGAGCAGCCTGTAGCAAGATCGTGCTCCTTCGGTCCAGCTTTTTCGAAAGCTCCTCTGGGTCGACTTTCGACATTTGCAGGATAGTGATCCCCACACAGATCACAAGGAAGCCCATGACCAACGTGATGATCGACGATGGAGATGCTGCTAGTCCTTTGAATAGAACGATGGTCGTTACGATGGAGAAAAAGGTGACTGTTCCGCAATTGAGCACAGGGCGGGTGGGGATCTGACTGACACTCACAAATGACATAGTATGTCGGCGTCACTGTAGAGGCATCAGCATATAATGTGTCAGAAAGATCGAGTTCGTACCCATGGCTATGGATATCGTCAGCGGTGCTCACGACAAATAAATCAGGGACTCACCCGTGTTGAACAATGCGAGGGCGACATTTAGATAGTAGACCTCCGTCAGAAGTGTGATAATGACGAAACCAAGCAGGAAATAAATGAACCAGTGCTTGAACTGGTTGTCTCCTTGTGCGGTTGTGACAATGGACGCTCCCAGACCGGTAGTGACGCTGACACTGATGCCCCCGATCATGCTGCACACAAAGATGTACCAGAGCATACTCTTCTTGCCCCATCGAGGTGCAGCATAGAAAATGATGACCAATGCGGCCGAGATGAGGATGCCGATGTACACGAGGAAACCGACTGACACGAAGAGCTTCTGGAAATCGAGGATGTGGCCTACGGTGGCCTCCGACGGTCCGTTCAGGGCGATGATGACAGAGCCGAGAATGCAAAGCGCGCATCCCAGCCAGCCAAAGAACGAAAGCTTTTCGTTCAGGAAGATCGAAGATAGGATGGCGCAAACGACGACGGACAGCGCGCCAAGCGGTGTAACAACAATGGCTTCCACGAAGGCATATGCTAGAGGAGTCGTCAGAACGTGAGATGATGAGGGCTCGGAAGATGACGAGAGGTCCAGCTCAATACCGGCATGCCCGTCGGTATGACCGAGGCACCGATATGCGCCGTGCGGACAAGAGATCCGTCTCCATGCCTTGGATCCCCGGAGGGTTTGGACACAAGACTGAATCTCGGCCGGTAGCAGGATAGCATATGGGGAAAGACTGAAAGAGACGAGAAGGCCCCGTACGCACCGGCAAAGTTACACAGTTCGCCCAAAATCATCACTGCAATCCCATGAGCTCAGCCCCAAGACGCATGGAATCGGGTGCACGCACTTGACATGCCCAACCACCAGAGAGGCTGCGGAGTCGTTAGGAGCCGTGCCAAGGATACCGAGTGTGCGACACACCGATTTCAGATACGCCACGCCCTCTCCAGCCGCGTGCCCTGCCTGCGAGCGCAACAAGCCCTTCTTCTTGAAGACGAAACTTGAGCCGATGAGTAGACCACTGCATATCGCCAAGATGATGCCGACGACCTGCAGTCCCAGGACATGAGTGTCTCAGGCTTATCCTAACTTGTCTAGGCAACGCACCTTCAAGTTCCCATTCGTAGATATCGACCCTGAGGCTCCAGATGATGCCGACGGGGAGGCCGCTCGGGCGAATGCCGGCGACATGGCGGGGCGTAGGGATGTGAGGAGGAGGAAAGTGGGGATTGATGATCGTCACAGTTTCTGCACCGCTTCTTGATCGACCGTTGCCTGTTGACAAGACAAATTCGCTCTACTCGATGCGCCAAGCCGGAGAAAATAGAAACTCGCTTCAAAGCGAGGAGAAGATAAAGGGATGAGTAGCGCAAGGTGCCGAGGGATGGATGGATTATTATTGTGGTGGAAGACAAGAGCGAAATTGGTGGAGCGCCGCACCCATGATATCACCGAATGACCGTGTGCATGGCATGACAATGGCACCATTTTATCTGAGTGGCAGGCGAGCAGCGGGCGGCCCAATTCCATCTCAAACAGTCGTGCCCATGTCCCCGCAACCTCTCACGTCCTGCTGTGTGATGATTCTGCATGCTCTCAATGACTTCGCCGCCTTCCTGTGAAGTACCTGGCAGAGTTGCATGCCAACCTCCTCCTCCCTCTCTCGCCCGCAAGATTCTTATGGAAACTGCAATTTGTCTCCAAGCATCTGAACAGCTCCCGCTCTCTCCCTGAGGATCTCACACGGGCTCACTCTGGCCCTTTGCGAATCGCCCTCATGCGCTTGCACGTCAACATCAGCGAGTTTGGCAGAGACATGCACACAGATGCGCGCTGATGAGGACATGCACTGGCAACTCCACGGGCAGTTCAATGACATACATCTGTGGTACCGCTGGTCGGAGGACGTGGTCGATGATATCAAACACGAGCCTACTTTGAGATCAAGGGTTGCGATAATCTGGTCGTTACCGTCAATATCTCGGTCCATTCCGGGGAGCTTCTGTAGATTCAAGCCAGCTCTAGTGGCTTTCACGAGCCTTGAGTGTGCCAGTGGCCGGTATCATCTTGCTTCACGCTCCCGACAGCAGGCGGTGGTCCCACCCGAATCCTGACCCTCAACAAAGCCTGATCGGTTTGACCCTTTCTCCACTGGAATCGTTGAAGGGCCCACCAGAATCGTTGAAGGGCCTTCAGCGGTTCCAGTGAACTCATCGCCGTGCGACAGATCGGCGCTGCGTCGGCAGGATACGTACCGATTTCTCGCTGTTGGAATGACAAATACGGCCCAAGCCTGGTACAGCCTCGTGCGCCGGCTAGCTGCTCGCTTTGACCAGACATGTACAGCATACATTCACAAATGATTGTGTACAGGAACAAGTTACTGACCAAGTTCAACATAGCAGAACAGCAATCAACAAAGCGAAGGGGCAACAAGGTGAGGGCGCGGTTACGGGCAGAATACCACTTTGAAAGCAATGTCGCCTGCACCGCAGGCCCGAACAGGGAGATCGGCACCACGAACCAGAGAAGGCATCTGCACGTCGAGGACCATACCCGCACGCCGTACTCGTGATAACAGGATGGACGGCATTGGAGCATTTGTTGGTCAGGGTGAAAGCGTGTCCATCCACTGTTATACTGCTCGAGATTGTACCAGAGCTGACAGTAGCAGTCGAAGTCGCGGAGCTAGTGGAGACGAGGATTGGTTTCTGTTCGGGGGCGGTCTGCTCGGAGGGAGGTGTCCCCGCGATGGTAGTAGTAGCACTCGATTGCGTCACGGATGGAGCACTACTGATCGACTTTGTCACGAGCGCGTAGGTGTGAATAGCAGAGGAGGCAGCTGGAAAACTCGGTTGAACGTGAGAGGGGAGGGACGAGGGAGTCTTGCAGCTGCGCCGTGGGTTTCGCTTGCTTGGCGAGAGGAGATTGGCACTCATGTCCGCCGATTGGGCAAGCCGTGCCGCGATTTCATGGTGCTGCAGGGGAGCTCTAACAATGCTTGTAGACCGAGTGATCTGGAAAAGAGAGACGATAAGGAACGTTGGGGCCAGCGAAAACACAAGCATAGGCAGAGAGAGACGAAAGCTCAAATCCTCACGTGCAACGATTCCGCACTTCACGGTGCAACAGCTCACGTGCAAAGCTTCCGGTCGAGCAAATTATCAAGCCCGGCCAGAGGAGACTAGAAGCGCTGCGACTAAAAAACAGTGCGGGGCCTGTATCTAACCACAAATACAAACTTGTCGCGGGAGACGATAATACGAGATAGGCGTCGATCGTTCACAAGGAGAGATCTCGCTTTCGCAGATCGCTCGTATGGCGTTAGTTCTCATTTCTTGCGTTGAGAGCAACCGACGGCGCTTCAATCAGCGAACGAAATCTCGCTCGCACTCGATTCAGATGACGAAGAGAATGCGAAAATGTCACGGTGACGCTCACGATCACTCTCTTCCCCAAACCACTACCAGCCCAACGCTCTTTCCACGCACTCTCCTTCACGCCAACGATGCACATCACTGCTCTTACAATCCTTTCCCTCCTCGGCCTTGTGAACTCACTTCCCATTCGGCGAGGCTTATCTGGTCAGCCCTAAGAGTCTATCGAGTCGACGGCACTCATCTCGTCCATCAGACCCTCGAGTGCTCAACTTTGCCCTCACACTGGGCGAGTTCTCTCTGTACTACATACTTGCACGGACAATGACAGCGTCTTCCAGAGCACCTCGAGTCGGCCTTCTATGATCAAGTTCTCGCTCGTTTCTCGCCTGTCGACTTCACTGCTGCTAAATTTCCGGCCTGGACGCGTGGGCGATTTCAGCAAATCCAAGAACATGAAACGACGCATGTCGCATTTCTCTCCACCGCTCTGACGACGGCTGGTGCGAAGGCTGTCGAGCGTTGCGAGTACGATTTGTGTGTCGACTGTTCACTCAGCGATGTGTTTCGTCTAACGACTTGCAGCGGCATAACCGACGTCGCGTCCGCAGTTTCCCTCAGCGCGTCTCTTGAATCGGTTGGCTCCGCTGCCTATACTGGCGCGGCGCAATACATCAACGACAAAGTAAGCGATCTCTAATGAACGCATACACCTTGACCATCCGCCTCCAGAACTATCTCACTGTGGCTGCGAGTATTCTCGGGATTGAGAATCGACATGCCGGTATGTTTCAGAGTTTGTCCTCAGAGTCGGCACTCATATCCGCAGCCTGGCTTGCCTCCTCTGCTTTGCACGGAAGCGCTTGGGATACATCATTTCAAACTGCGCTCTCGCCCAGTCAAGTTTACCACATCGCATCAAAGTTCATCAAGTCATGCCCCTCCTCAAACTCTGCCATTCTCCCCTCTCTCGCATCCTTCGCGTCACTGACTGTCTCGAACGCGCAACCGGGCAAGACTGCTACTGTCGACTTTCCTGTGCCTAAGGACTCCACTTCACAACTGTTTGCTGCGTTTATCTCCGGTGTCGGTGCTCCGGTCTTTTCTCCGGTTCAAAATGGTCAAGTCCAAGTGCCAATCAGTCTTGCTCGGACTGGGTCTGTATATTGTGTGATCACGAGAGATGGAGGCAGGGTCGACGACGACACAATCGTCGCGGGTCCTGCCATAGTACAGTTTCCATTCGGTTCATGATGTTGTCAAAAATATAAGAATTTGCACTGCAGAGCAAGGGTGGAAAGGGTGCAACCACTAGTGAACTCTACAACTGAGGACTAGGGCTATGACGTTGAAGATATTCCAGTCACACAAATTCCGAACAACCGTAGCGAAAACTGGAAACCCTCTCGCGTGTTTGAAGGCCCCGTTTATTGGAGACAAACAATGAGTACTGCTAAAATATAAGAATTTGCACTGCAGAGCAAGGGTGGAAAGGACGCGACTACCAGCAAACTCTACAAGTGAGGACTGGGGTTGATCAAGTTACTCGAATTCCGAACGACCTTGGAGACAAACAATGAGTACTGCTATACCGCTGAGTAATCGAGCACCGATATCCAATCGAGCTTGTATGGACCGAATCCAATTCCGGAGAGTTCAGAACAGAGGGCCGAAGAACAGGCATCGCGTGGGCCGGCGTGCACCGCCTAGAATGCACTCAACCAGCAGCGAACCACCACGCCTACAAATATACCCCGACAACACGTCAGCGACGAGATAGCGTCCAGCCAAGGCCAAGCCCGACCATTCCATGCGCGTGACATCACTCCACGCAATATCCTCCTGCCATCGGCGGCGGCAGATATCGCCCGGTCTTTGCCGTCGGATCTCCGCAGGGCAGCAATGTCAGGGCAAGACTTATGTGATTTTTGCAACGCTCGATCAAGAACGGAAGAGCTGGGGCCGCATGATGGCCAGCAATGCGAACCAGCAGAGCGACTATCGTCAACGGAACGATCCGTGAGACGACCATGCGGTATAGCTCGAGATCGTTGAGGTGCTGGCCGGCTTCCGCGTCGTGGAGATAGAGCGTGCGCAGACCAGGAAACAGCGAGGATGGGAGGTCGGGACGGAGAGTGAGGGCGGCGACGAATGCATCGTCGAGCGCGATATGCATGTACAGCTCCTCCAGGCGCTGCATGCTTCGCATCTGAAGCCAGGAAAGATGCCATTCGATCCCGGGGTGCTGTGGATCCGCGAGATCGAGTCGTTTCAGGAACGCTTTTGAGCGGATAAGCAGACGGTCCAAGGCTCGAGCGTCATCCGCCACGTGAGGTGCATCGTTGTAATGCACCATGAGCTTGTCCAGACAGGGCAGCGTCAGACAGTCGAACAACTCGGTCAGATTGACTGCTGTTACGGTCATCTTCAGGTCCGAGAGGTAGGGCAGCGAGGTGTGATGCGGGACAAACGTGCCGCCGGATCGGTCCGCCCCGAGTTGAAGAGCTAGGCTGCGCAGCTGCCCGCACCGCCGTAGGGTGTCCAAGAGAACGTCCGGTGTGAAGCAGCCGCCGAGCGATGCGTCGATGACGGTCAACTGGGCAAACGGAACGAAGCTCAAGTTGATGGAAGGAGGGAGCACGACAGAGAGCGAGGACACTGGTCAGCACCGAGCCGTCGGGCGAGTGCATGAACAGGAGGATGAGCATCCCCGACGTGAGAATAGTCCATGTGGACGTGAGGAGGGTGAACCGGACGCGATCGCCCTCTGAGGGATTTTGGTAGTGGTGCAAGGCATTGAACTTGGATGTGAGCCAGGCGGAGAGTGCGAGCTGCGCCAGTGGTGTCAGACAGGCTGGGCGGGAGCAGAGAGACACATACCTCAAAGATGGCAAGTAGGATGACGAGACCAAGAGTGACTGTGTGGAAATCAATGCGAGTGACAACAAAATGGTGGTGAGGTACGCACTGGGATGGCCTCGACGAAGCTGGGTCCCGGATGACATGGTGGCGGTGGGATATGGAGACAAAGGGTGTCGTTGGATGGGTGCGTTGCAGGGTTGTTATATAATCGTTCAGGAGAGGCTGGAAGGTAGAAGCTTCTGTGTCCCGTCCTGCCGCCCCGCTGTTTTGCTTGTCACCCTCGCTGCCCCCTCCCTTTCTCGTTCTTTTCCGCTCGAGTGAGGTCGCCTTGGCGCCGGATGGCTCAGAAAGGTCGGCGAGCGGGGACAGCGGCTGGGCTTGGTGGCCTAAGGAAACATCCTCCTCCCCTTCCTCTGTGGCAATCTCAGCCTCGCTATGCTCCTTCAAGACAGCGGCGATATCGAAGGCGCTAGAGCAAAGGGGTACCGAGCTGACAGCCGTGTCAGGCTCAGATCGGAGACAGAGTGAGATGTGAGGCAGGGGATGGTAGGGAGGCACGAGTGCGCTGTCAAGGCACATGGTCGCACCTCCGGACAATCGTGCTCGTGCCTCTGATGGATGCGGGGTGATGAGAGGTTTGGGCGTCACATAGCTGGCACAGTCCCATTTGGCGCCATCGGTAGCGAGCCAAGGGGTTGCATGCGAGGGAGGAGGGGGAGGAAATCAACAAAGTGTACCGCCAGAAAGAAGTGAAATGAAGCGATTCTGAAATAGGTTGGGGGCATACGGAAGGAATGGGCACGAGGGGGGAAGGGCGGGACCAATAGGCGGGGACGGGGGATGTAAAGGGCAAACGCGACACGAAGTAAGCCGCGGATGCAGTGCCGAACGGGTTTAAGACTTGTGTTCAACGGAACTGCCTCAGTCGGCATGGAATGCCGCAATCATTACCCTCACGTGTACTGTACATGCTGGTGATGATGGGCATCATTTGCATCTCAGTTTTTTACTACTACCCCGTCTGGTGACGCAGTGCTCCTTGCCATACTTGGCGTCTTTTCTGTGAAGCAGTGAACAATTGCTCCAGAACGGGTGATCCCATCGACAATTCTCTGGAGCTTGCCTGTTACAACCTTCTTGCTGCGTCCTGTTCTGCAATCAGCCTGAAACTTGCTGGTACGGCGAGACAGGAAGCGTAGCTGTTGTCTGGCATGAAGATCAGATCGGTACACAACAAGTCCAACAGGGCCTCACTGGCAAGTCTCCCCTGCATTCCCTTGGCTAAGACCTAACATCACTTGTAGCTTTTGTCTTTGGACCGTGTAAGTGATCAATGCTGATATGTATTCTTCAATTATATGTGACATGCTAGGACCTACCAATGCACCACATTCAATATGAGAACACAGCTCATGCAAGGGATCCCATGTATGTTGCAACTCAATTGCTGGCTCAAACTGTCTAATGATGGATTATGTTCTGTAATGCAGTGCCAGTGACACATGGGACCACTCACTAGTAGAAGAGAATGCACAGCATCCTTTTACAAACACATCACTTGAGGTGTGTGCCATGCATGTGTTTATTCTTTCTTATCTAACAGTCAAACTACTGCAAGATGCCTCCTTGGATGAGATGGCCAAAGCCACTGGCTACAAGGTTGAATTGTTCCATGAATGTCTTGGTGAGAATGCTCCTTTGTTCCTGGTGTTCATTCTGTGTAATGGATATAGCAGGTCATGGAATCAACATGCAGCAGCAGCAATCAATCAGGAATCAATCCCAGCAGTACTGCTCAGAGAAGGAGCTTATCAGCTGTGAGGTTTCATGCTTGGATTATATATTTTGCTGATGCAATATGCAGCTGCTGAATCTATGGCTTCTGCTCAACATACACAAGGAGCTGATAAGGATATCATTGGTGAAAACAATCTACTGTATGCTGATTCAGCAGCTGACTCTGCATTCTGTTCAGGCAAAGTTTCTAAGCGCCGTAAACTTGGTGAAGTACTGTGACAATCAACAAGAAATAATGTCGAAAAGAGAAGTCAATTCGAAGACTGGAGAATACAACCAAGTAGCTACAGTATTTATACCCAAATCCAGTCTGAGTCATATCTACAACTAATGAGTCATAAGGCTATGTACTGCATGGAGCACTGGTCATCGGTTGTAGTAGAACCTTCCAGAGCATATGTTGCGCAGCCTCGAATCAATAAAGATAATCCCTGGAACCCCTAGCCCGGACCGTCTGATGCCGTGATCTGTGATAAGATAATCTGTGCCGAGATAAGATAAGATGGTTGATGATAAGATGAAAAAGGGGCTGAATTATGACATTACCCCCTCTCTAGGGTCGATGTCCTCATCGACTAGGCCAATGGGCGTGAAGATGTTCTCGTAAGGATCGAAGAGCTGTTGTTGGGGATATGGAAGGCGCTCGTTCCTGGGTTTGTAGCGATGAATGAGATAGTCCCAGTGTCCAGCTTCGAGCGTTGGCAGGAGGCGAATGCGTGTGTCTGGATTTGATTGTTTCCTCTGCCAGTCTCTCAGGACGTCCTTCGCGTGGGTAAGGTGACGTGATGGTTCCCAGATGTTCTCGCTGTGCGGCCATCCCTTCCATTTGACCAAGTACTGTTTTCCTCGGCTGACTTTTTGCTCTTTCACGATCTCTTCGACTTCCCACTCCTCTGCTCCTCCGATCATCTTGGCTACGGGCCTCTTCTCTCGGCGATGGGGGGGTGGTTTGTGATAGGGTGTCAACAGTGACTCGTTGAACACTGGGTGCCTTCGGTCCGTGTCCAGCAAATCCAGCTTCCATGCGGCTGCTCCAACCTTCTCCAATATCTTGTATGGTCCCAATCTCTTGTCGCTCATCTTCTTCAATGGTCTGTCCGTCTCGATATTGTCCCCCTCTATGTACACCTTCATCCCAACCTTCAACTCCGGAGCCTCTTTTCTTTGTTTATCATAGTATTTTTTCATTTTTTCTTTTGCTTTTTCTAGTGCCGCTTTTGCTTCATCTTGTATTTCTTTGATTCTTTTTACAAACTCCTCCGCCGACTCGTTCCTTGATTCCATCCATTGCTCCACTCCCTTTCATGGGTGATATCTGTGATTGGCGTAGAACGGTGATATTTTGGTAGACGTGTTCATCTTGTCATTATATGCAAACTCCGCCATTCCCAGCCACTCTGACCAGTCTGTCTGATGGTAATTGACATACTGTACGGGAGTGTATGGATGCAACAGCCCAAGCAACCGTGACGTGACGCGACCGTAGAACGGATGCGACGGAGCCTCGCGTTACCGTTACCATTGCAACTTGAGGCGACCATCAGTACATCACGTGCATTTACCCCATTTGCCATACAATGCCCCTGAGGTGGCCTGAGCGGTCGTGCAACACTGTAAACAATGCATTTCTTTGGAGAATTTACATGACGGTCTGAGCTTGCTACCAACCACATCATGCCCACTGCTAGCAGCGCACCTAAGCCAGTGACTGGCCCATCTATGGAGCTTGTCGCTCACATTCAGCATCTCGAATCCCTCATTGCTGGTTTGCCCGAGTCCCTTCCGGAAGAACTACCCAACTCTCCCTACGCGTTTGCCTTCGATCAGGAGAAGCTCGAGGACAGAGGATACTTTGGAGAAATGAGCCACATCATGGAACTTTCCTTCGGTACTCACTCGCAGAAGGATGCTCCCATTCGATTCCTTCAGCGCGGCGCTTGTCTCGAGCCTCTCATGGCCATCATCAAGAAAGCAGTCAAGCACATGAGCCCATCTGAGCGTGAGAGCTTCAGGACAGCATGGCTTGAACGCTTGATTGCTGGCGCTGTTGCTTCTGGAGCAAAGATTCGTTTGCGTCCTGGGAAGAGAGCTCTACAGTCAGCAACGGATCAGGAGAAGTCGGGAAGCTCTGCATCAAACACACCTGAAGACACTGAGGAAATTGTTGAGCAAGCACCGCCCACAAAAAAGGCTCGTCAAAGCACTTCATTGGATGTCTCGAAGGTTAGTGATACGACATGACTTCTGGAGACAAGAACTCACAAATGCATCCAGAGCACAAATCCATTCACACTTGCTACTGTTGCCGCGCGCAAACAGCCGCCTGTCCCACAGTTCTTGATCGACAAAGCTGCTGCCAGTGGCAAATCAATCCCAAAGCCCGGCGCGACACTCGAGATGTTTGCCTTCAAGCCCGGAGCCTCCTTGAAAGATCAGAATCAGTATTGGGCGAAAGCACGGGTTGATTCCGAGGAGAAGCGTCGGATTGCTGCAGAGGAGGAGGCGAAGAAGCAGGCAGCAAAGGCAGACCGAGTGCGGGAGCAGAATCGAGATTGTCAGCGCGCCCATCGCGAGCGTGTGAAGGAAGAGAAAGCCCGCATTGCCGCTGCTGCTGCCCCAACCGTCAACGATGTACTGATGGAGAACGCAAGCGACGCACCTCAATCCAACGAACCGAAGCCACCAGGTCCTGCTAATGTTGCAGAGACTTCACACGCTGGGACGAAGGATTGGAAGCTTGTGCGGAATGGAACAAAAGGAGGGGTTGTGAAGAATGTGAGCTCAAAGCGAGTCTTCTGGCAGCATCCATACCTTTGGTGTCTCATCGACAAAGCACTCCGGCTCAGCTTCTGGTCCGCGGAAGGTGCTGCCCAATACCTGCGCAAAAAGTACCCCACTCTCTTCAATGCCCCCGGCAATGTGATTCATCGTGGCACGATACATCGTTGGATTGTTCCGAAGGAGAAGCAATTCACGGACAAAGTGCTCGTGCTGGTGAAGTCTGAGCGAACACTTGCGGGCAGTGGTCGAGTTGGCGTGTTGACAAAGTATCCTGATGTTGTCACATTGATTGTTGCCACTCTCCGAGGCATGCGGGTGGCTGGATGCGCTGTCGGTGTTGCCATTGCTCGAACACTGATGATGGCAATAATGAAGGAGATGCGGCCCGAGATCCTCCAAGCCAAATTTCAATGTTCCGAACGCTTCGTCCAATCATTTGTTGACAGCACGCTGGATTGGTCGATGCGGGCTGCAACTCGTGCTACGAAACACATCCCTGATAATGCCCGCGAGCTTTGCGAAAGGACATTCTTCCGCCTTGTTCATGCTATCGAGACTGAGCACATTCCCACCAAACTTCTCATCAACTACGACCAGACCGGGATGTATCTCTTGCCGAACAACAGCCAAACATTTGAGCAGCGTGGATCCAAGCAGGTCTCGGTTGTTGCAAAGGACGAGAAGCGTGCTTACACATTGGGAATCGCAACTGCGTGCGACGGATCCATTCTACCTCTCGAGCAGGTTTGGGGTGGCGCATCAGAACGATCACTTCCCAAATCAGGTGCGGATGGATTTGCCGATGCGAAGAAGCACGGCTTTCACTTCACGTTTGCGGCAAGCGACAAGCGGACAAGTCATTTCAGCACCGTGAAAACTATGAAGGAGCTTTTCCACAAAATCTTCCAAGCTTATGTCGATGGTGTAATCAAGGCAGACCCAGAACTGGATGAAGACCAGAAATGGATCATTTACTACGACATCTACCCTGTCCACACGTCAACCGAGCTTCGGGAATACCTCTACAAACAGTTCCCCAACCTGATCCTGATCTATGTCCCAGGCAACTGCACAGGCTTGCTCCAACCGCAGGATGTTGGAATCCAGCGCGTTGCCAAGCACAAGCTGAAGCAAGGTCTGATGGAGTTCCTTCTCAAAATGTACAATGCTCAGTCGGCAGCGGGGATCAAGCCGGAAGATGTCATCTTCTCGTCTTCTCTGCCTGTTCTTTGTGACGCATCAGTCCGCCCTTGTGTCCAACTGTTCGATTGGCTGCAATCGGAGGAAGGACGAAATCTGATCAAGAAGGCATGGGCGAAGTGCATTGTGCCAGAGGTGACATACAATCTCTCGTATGAAGCTCTCACAAGCCGTGCCTCCCGGAAGGCCTTGCGAGAATATCTCAAGAAGGATTCGGTTCTTGCGGATGAGATCAGGGCTCGCTGCGGATCGATTGATCTACCCGACTTGCCTGCAGATCTTCCTGCCAAGTCCGGGAAGGCTGTTGCGGAGAGCGATCTCGATGCAGATGGGCAAGGAGATGGAATCGGAGACGACTCGGACGTTGCTGTCGAGACCGTCATAGAGCAAGTCATGGGCGCGAAAAACTCCGAAGATCCCACACCATTGACCTCAACAGCCGACGAGGAAGACATCTGGGCTTATAACTCCGCTGGAGAAAAGTGGGCCATAGCTGGACCACCTTTAGAGGGAGATACCACTGAAGATTAGATAATTTTGTAGCTCAAATTTGGCGCCAAAAACGCGCCAGAAAAAAATGAATTTCTTATGTAATTGTCACGCTAGTAAGGACGCGACGGGGTTTGGGATGACGCGTGACAATACCTGCCCTGTGCGACGCGACGGACTCGACCGTGAGCGTGACCGTTGCATCCATACACTCCCGTACAGTAGATGCGGAGTGTCAGGGGACGCCGCGCTCCTTGGGCACGTGACCATGCACGTGACCCACTGCACCCTCTCTGCCGACCCGTGCCTGCTCACCTGTTGATCACCCAGCCTCCTCCACCTCCTCCGATCCTCATCTCCATCCATGCCAACATCCGCCCTCTCCCTTCTTCCCCCGGCCATCTCCCTCGAATCCCCGCAAGCGGTCTAGCCAAGCCCGATTCCTTGCACCAGGGAGTGCTACTGCCGTATGCACTCCTCCCCCTTCACTTCGGCCTTCTCCCCACGGATGTGGTCTACTGCCGTACAGGCTCGTACCAGATGCCCTTGCGCTCATCCGCACCACCCCTCTTCCCAGTTGGGCATTGGTCCTCGCCTCCGATGCCTCCACTGGCTGGCCCGGCACTGGCCTGGCCGCTGGGCTCCTCCAGTGTGGCCTTCCACTGTTGGTGTCTCAGGAGCTGGCCGTCACTGGCCCCTCTGAGCCACTCACTATCTTATCTGGGTTTGTCATTATCTACTTGTCATCT